CAATCTCCCCGCCATCCCAGCGTCCTCCGGACTTGCCGTCTATCCAATCTCCCCGCCATTCCAGTGTCCTCCAGACTTGCTGTCTATCCAATCTCCCCGCCATCCCAGCGTCCTCCAGACTTGCCGTCTATCCAATCTCCCCGCTAGCCCAGCGTCCTCCAGACTTGCTGTCTATCCAATCTCCCCGCTAGCCCAGCGTCCTCCAGACTTGCCGTCTATCCAATCTCCCCGCCATTCCAGCGTCCTCCAGACTTGCTGTCTATCCAATCTCCCCGCCATCCCAGCGTCCTCCAGACTTGCCATCTATCCAATCTCCCCCCTAGCCCAGCGTCCTCCAGACTTGCCATCTATCCAATCTCCCCGCTAGCCCAGCGTCCTCCAGACTTGCCGTCTATCCAATCTCCCCGCTAGTCCAGCGTCCTCCGGACTTGCCGTCTATCCAATCTCCCCGCCATCCCAGCGTCCTCCAGACTTGCCGTCTATCCAATCTCCCCACCATTCCAGCGTCCTCCAGACTTGCCGTCTATCCAATCTCCCCGCCATCCCAGCGTCCTCCAGACTTGCCGTCTATCCAATCTCCCCGCTAGCCCAGCGTCCTCCAGACTTGCCATCTATCCAATCTCCCCCCTAGCCCAGCGTCCTCCAGACTTGCCGTCTATCCAATCTCCCCGCCATCCCAGCGTCCTCCAGACTTGCCGTCTATCCAATCTCCCCGCCATCCCAGCGTCCTCCAGACTTGCCGTCTATCCAATCTCCCCGCTAGCCCAGGGTCCTCCGGATTTGCCGTCTATCCAATCTCCCCGCTATCCCAGCGTCCTCCGACTTGCCGTCTATCCAATCTCCCCCCATCCCAGCGTCCTCCAGACTTGCCGTCTATCCAATCTCCCCACTAGCCCAGCGTCCTCCAGACTTGCCGTCTATCCAATCTCCCCGCTAGCCCAGCGTCCTCCAGACTTGCCGTCTATCCAATCTCCCCGCCAGCCCAGCGTCCTCCAGACTTGCCGTCTATCCAATCTCCCCGCTAGCCCAGCGTCCTCCAGACTTGCCGTCTATCCAATCTCCCCGCCAGCCCAGCGTCCTCCAGACTTGCCGTCTATCCAATCTCCCCGCTATCCCAGCGTCCTCCAGACTTGCCGTCTATCCAATCTCCCCGCTATCCCAGCGTCCTCCGCTGGACCTAGGGGAGGCACACCGACCCGGCGGGTCCCCGACCCTCTGGTCGCTCGAGACCTTCGCCCTCACGAGGGCGAGAAGGCTGGGAGCCAGGGTCCTATCCAGGACCTATCTCCCCTGACCACTGGTGACACTGACCCTAGCCCTGACAAGGGCTGGAAGGCTTGGTGCAGGGCCCTAGATGTCTTGGGTCTTCGTGTAGCAGAACTGGTCAAGAGCTCTCAGCGCTCTGGCTTTTATACCTGTTCGTGGCCGGGTTGTCCAATCCCCGGCCACCTTGTGGGACCCTCCGATTGATCCTTCCCAATCTGGCGTTTGGATCCTACCTCACCCCATTTGACCCTGACCATTTGATTGAGCGGGAAACCTTGTTAACGATCCGCTCTCTCACAGCTTGCGAACGACGAGTTGTTATCACCACTACACATTAATGGGCTTGTATAAAATAACGTAGACACCAATTACTCAGATGCCTACAGAAGCCACGTGACCAGCGCTGCTACCAGCTGCGCCGGTCACGTGGCGTGCCTCAACCCCCACACCCCCCACCCCTCTCCCACAGACTCACCACACAGAGACCCACAGACTCACAACACAGACCCATAGACTCACCACACAGAGACCCACAGACTCACACACAGAGACCTACAGACTCACCACACAGAGACCCATAGACTCACCACCACGAGACCCATAGACTCAAACCACACAGAGACCACAGACTCACCACACAGAGACCCACAGACTCACAACCACAGAGACCACACAGACTCACCACACAGAGACCCACAGACTCACCGCACAGAGACCCACAGACTCACCACACGAGACCACAGGCTCACAACACAGAGACCCACAGACTCACCACACAGAGACCACAGGCTCACAACACAGAGACCCACAGACTCACACCACACAGACCCATAGGACCTCACCAACAGAGACCACAGACTCACACACAGAGACCCACAGACTCACCACACAGAGACCCATAGACTCACCACACAGAGACCCATAGACTCACCATACTGACCCATAGGACTCACCACACAGAGACCCACAGACTCACCACACAGAGACCCACAGACTCACCACAGAGACCCACAGACTCACCACACAGAGACCCACAGGCTCACACACAGAGACCCACAGACTCACCACACAAACCCATAGACTCACCACACAGAGACCCACAGACTCACACACAGAGGACCCACAGACTCACCACACAGAGACCCATAGACATCACCACACAGAGACCCATAGACTCACCATACTGACCCATAGACTCACCACACAGAGACCCACAGACTCACCACACAGAGACCCACAGACTCACCACACAGAGACCCACAGACTCACCACACAGAGACCCACAGACTCACCACACAGAGACCCACAGACTCACCACACAGAGACCCACAGACTCACCACACAGAGACCCACAGACTCACCACACAGAGATCCACAGACTCGCCACACAGAGACCCACAGACTCACCACACAGAGACCCACAGACTCACCACACAGAGACCCACAGACTCACCACTCAGAGACCCACAGACTCACCACACAGCAGACCCACAGACTCACCACACAGAGACCCATAGACTCACCACACAGAGACCCACAGACTCACCACCTAAGAGACCCACAGACTCACCACACAGAGACCCACAGACTCACCATACAGAGACCCATAGACTCACCACAAAGAGACCCACACACTCACCACACAGAGACCCACAGACTCACCACACAGAGACCCACAGACTCACCACACAGAGACCCACAGACTCACCACACAGAGACCCACAGACTCACCACACAGAGACCCACAGACTCACCAACAGACACCCACAGACTCACCCACACAGCAGACCCACAGACTCACCACACAGAGACCCACAGACTCACCACACAGACCCATAGTACTCACCACACAGCGACCCACAGACTCACACACAGAGACCCACAGACTCACCACACAGAGACCATAGACTCACCACACAGAGACCCACAGACTCACCACACAGAGACCCACAGACTCACCACACAGAGACCCACAGACTCACCACACAGAGACCCACAGACTCACCACACAGAGACCCACAGACTCACCACACAGAGACCCACAGACTCACCACACAGAGACCCATAGACTTACCACACAGAGACCCATAGACTCACCACACAGAGACCCACAGACTCACCACACAGAGATCCCCCCCCCCAGAGACCCATAGACTCACCACAACAGAGACCCACAGACTCACCACACAGGGACCCACAGACTCACCACACAGAGACCCACAGACTCACCACACAGAGACCCACAGACTCACCACACAGAGACCCATAGACTCACCACACAGAGACCCATAGACTCACCACACAGCAGACCCATAGACCCATCACGCAGACCCATAGACCCATCACGCAGACCCATAGACCCATCACACCAGAGACCCACAGACTCAACACAGGCCATTGGAACGTTGGTAACGATCAGGAACATGCCGTGACAAAACAAGGAAGTCTGAAAATATGCTGGGTGTAATCAGCACATCAAATTAAATCCGCAGGGGGGAAGAAAGGCCCCAAGCATGCGACACTCGGCCGAGAGAGTGGGGAGAGAGAGAGGGAAGAGACTTTTCACGACTTTATTTCCACTAAAACATGAAACAAAAAACCATTACAGGAAAACACACGTAAATTGTGAATCAACAAAACATCAAACTCTTAACAGCTGTGTGTGCATGAACTACACACGGCACAGGGATAGAGGCTGTGCAAACGAGGCGGTGCACGGACATCTCCGTGTGTAGCAAAGTCGCTACGCTAAAGGGTTTTTCTATTTGATAAACAATCAAATGTTTTGACACGGGAATGCGACGTGAACAAGATACGTTTTTCTCCCCGACATTTTCAAAACGAAATGCGTTGACGCGTCAAACACCTGAAATAATTTTTTCTTACGGATTCAGTTGTCGGTTTTCATTAAAGTGTAATGACAGGGTGACACCTGGTAATGTCCACAGGGTGGGCTCGTTGGTGGGTGGGTGGGTGGGTGAGTGGGTGGGTGAGTTGGTGAGTGGGTGGGTGAGTTGGTGAGTGGGTGGGTGAGTTGGTGAGTGGGTGAGTGAGTTGATGAGTGGGTGGTTGAGTGGGTGGGTGAGTTGGTGGGTTGAGTTGGTGAGGATGGTCAGGTTGGTGAGTGGATGGGTGAGTGGGTGGGTGAGTGGTGGTTGAGTGGTGAGTGGGTGGGTGAGTTGATGATGTGGGTGGGTGAGTTGGTGAGTGGGTGGGTGAGTTGATGAGTGGTGTGGTGAGTTGGTGAGTGGATGGGTCCGTTGGTGAGATGGTGGGTGAGTTGGTGAGTGGTGGGTGAGTGGGTGGGTGAGTTGGTGAGTGGGTGAGTGAGTTTATGAGTGGGTGGTGGGTACGGGTAGGCCGTGGAGTCACTGGTGAGTCACCGTTTGTCACTCATTTCCAACGGTCTTGTCTCTTCTCACAATTCAAGTTCTAGAATCAACCCACCCGCGCCTGCAACGTGGCTTCATCCCAGAGGTCGCAATCGGGTACCTGATACTCGTACCCTACCGATACCCGGCTGGGTACGGGTAGCCGGGTATCGGGTAGGGTTACAGGTACAGCTACCGTTTGCGACCTCTGGCGTGCCGGCAACGTGAACATGTCGCGTGAGCGGCCCGGGCAATTTGCAGTTTGACGGTGAACACCGCAACGGACGTGAGGTTCAGAGCGAACGCCAAGCGGTAGGACCCCGTCCGCGGTCTGACGAACGCCGCCGCGATGGTCACGCGGCACTACGGATACGCCGAGAGGTTCTGGACGGGGGCGGCCGGGGGAGGCGACGTCGCGACGGGGGCCGGGCCCCCCACCCTCGGCGGTGTTCGCATCGCTGATGATTTCGTAGGAGGAGCTCGCTCGCAACTTCGCGCGCTCCCTCCACGCTGGAGCTCAGGACCCGCGGGGAAGAAGCCGCCGCCTTCCCGCATCATCCCGGGAATGAAGACCTTGTAGAGGAGGCCCAGGGGCTCGCCCGGCTCCACGTGCGCGTGCAGCTGGAAGGTCGCCCAGCCGACGCCGAAGCTCCGTAGCAGCAGCTGCAGACGTGTCTCCCACGACAAGATGGCGCCTCCGGCAGCGCCTCGGACCGATGGTGCACGGGATGCGGGTGGTGAGGTGCCCGTCGCAGGCCGCGTGAGCGCCGCCCAGCCCACAAAAGGCTGCTGCGCAAGGCCTTGTCGGCGCCGGTGCACTCCGGCACCGCCACCGCCCACCTCCTCATCGTTCTTTCCGTTGCCACCGCTGCCACCGCCGGCCGCCCGCCAGCCGCCGTGTCCACCTCCGGGATGGCCCAGTCCAACTTGACGGTGCGGCCCCAGAGCTGGAAAGGAATTTGAAGCAGCTTCTTCCGTGCAAGGACGGCGCGCGATGGCTCTCGTATTCGACGAGCGCGTAGCCTCGGTCGGGGCTTCTGTCGTAGCGACAGAAGCGCGTACTTGACGTCCACGACGCCCTCCGTGACGCCGCTCATCGCCGCCATCACCTGCGCCCGCGTCTTGTCCTTCGGCAGCCCCCCGACGAAGAGGCGGCGGTTGTCGACGCTCACGCGAACCGTGATGCGGTGCCCGGGACGGATCTCCAAGTCGTGGAGTCTCCTGACGGCTGTCCGCGGCTTGGGAGCGCGTCGCAGAAGGTGGCGAACCCGTAGCCGCGGTCGGTCTCTCCCCAGTGGTACGTCATCATGAGGCGCAGCTGGTACAGCTTCCCCACCGCCTCCAGCACGGGCAAACAGCTCCGTCCCTAGTACAGGTCGCGCGGGATCCTGGCCAGGAACACCTCGCAGCGCGGGCGGGAGGGGGGCCCTCGCCAGTCGGGCGGCGGTCCCCAGCTTCCTCTGTCCGTTCTCCTGCACGACGTTGTAGCCCGTGCGCAAACACGAGGTCCAGCAGGTCCCTCTCCACGCAGCTCATGATGCCGAGCACCGGCGGCTTGCCCACGGTGGCGGTGACGACGGGGCAGCGGCTTGGGCCCGGTGGAGCCCTCGACACTCGGCGCAGAAGCCTCGTGCCGACAAAACAACGGGGGGTTGGGGGGGTGGGAATGAACTCCCGAAAAGCCAAATCCCCGGCGGGAACTCGCTCGGCCCAAACCTACAGGCCCAGCAGTGGAGAGAGAGAGAGAGAGTGGAGAGAGAGACGCGTTGAAGCAGAGCTCCCTTTGTAAACTCGGAAAATCATAATAGACTGAAAAGAGAACCCAAGAAACTGTGTCCTGACTGTTTGACCGCCATGTATTACACCACTGGTGCACACACTTGTTGTTGTTCTGCAGTGAGGTATTCCAACGGTTGTAAGGTAATGTTGGGGTGCTGCTGATTCCAAATCTGGCATCAGTTTTTGTCTATCACGTCAGGTTTTTGAGATATCAAATATTGCATTTTCAATAAAAACTGCGGAAGAAAAAATATTAAATGAATGTGGATATCTACATAAAATGATATTATAAACACACCATCCTAAAAATACAGCACCGTATTTTAACACTAAAGCAGTCACTGACTCGCAACAACTTGCAATCATAAGTGACAGAGTCAATTTCGGGTAAAATCAATGAAAATGGGGTATGCCGATAGCATAAAAATGAGATGTGATAGAGCAAATCTGAGATCATATTTGGAATCAGCACCCTGAAATTAGTCTAAAACAGCTGCAAAAGTCGCTCACACTCTCACCCACTCACTTTCTCACCTACCCACACACTCACCCACCCACACACTCACCCATTCACTCACCCACATGCCCACTCACTCAGCCACTCACTCTCTCACCCACTCACTCACCCAATCACTCACCCAGTCGCTCACACACTCACCCACTCACTCTCTCACCTACCCACCCACTCACCCAATCACTCACCCAGTCGCTCACACTCACCCACTTACTCTCTCACCTACCCACGCACTCACCCACCCACACACTCACCCCATTCACTCACCCACATGCCCACTCACTCAGCCACTCTCTCACTCTCTCACCCAATCACTCACCCAGTCGCTCACACACTCTCCCACTCTCTCACCTACCCACACACTCACCCACCCACACATTCACCCATTCACTCACTCACATTCCCACTCACTCAGCCACTCACCCACTCACTCACCCAATCACTCACCCAGTCGTTCACACTCTCACCTTACACTCACCTCACCTAACCCACCTGTTCACACACACACTCACCCACTCACCTGTTCACGCAGCCACTCACAACAACAACAACCACTTAGTGGCAGTGGGGGTTCCCAGCCCCTCCACCTGCAATTAATTAGCCGCTGCTAATTAATTGCAGCGCTGCTGTGCCAGGTCACGTGACAGACCCAGCAGGTGCTATGGGTTGGCTGCTGTGCCAGGCTAGGTGCAGGAGGAGGTCACGTGACAAGCCCAGCACGTGCTGTGAGTTGGCTGCTGTGCCAGGCTAGGTGCATGAGGTCACGTGACAGACCCAGAAGGTGCTATGGGTTGGCTGCTGTGCCAGGCTAGGTGCATGAGGTCACGTGACAAACGCAGCAGGTGCTATGGGTTGACTACTGTGCCAGGCTAGGTACATGAGGTCACGTGACAGACCCAGCAGGTGCTGTGGGTTGGTTGATGTGCCAGGCTAGGTGCATGAGGAGGTCACGTGACAGACACAGCAGGTACTATGGGTTGGCTGCTGTGCCAGGCTAGGTGCATGAGGAGTTCACGTGACAGACACAGCAGGTGCTATGGTTGGCTGCTGTGCCAGGCTAGGTGCATGAGGAGGTCACGGGACAGACCCAGCAGGTGCCATGGGTTGACTGCTGTGCCAGGCTAGGTGCATGAGGAGGTCACGTGACAGACCCAGCAGGTGCCGTGGGTTGACTGCTGTGCCAGGCTAGGTGCATGAGGAGGTCACGGGACAGACCCAGCAGGTGCCGTGGGTTGACTGCTGTGCCAGGCTAGGTGCATGAGGAGGTGGTCACGGGACAGACCCAGCAGGTGCCATGGGTTGACTGCTGTCCCAGGCTAGGTTCATGAGGAGGTCACGTGACAGACTCAGCAGGTGCCGTGGGTTGACTGCTGTGCCAGGCTAGGTGCATGAGGTCAAAGAGACAGACCCAGCAGGTGCCGTGGATTGACTGCTGTGCCAGGCTAGGTGCATGAGGAGATCACGGGACAGACCCAGCAGGTGCCGTGGGTTGACTGCTGTGCCAGGCTAGGTGCATGAGGTCACGGGACAGACCCAGCAGGTGCCGTGGGTTGACTGCTGTGCCAGGCTAGGTGCATGAGGAGGTCACGGGACAGACCCAGCAGGTACCGTGGGTTGACTGCTGTGCCAGGCTAGGTGCATGAGGTCACGGGACAGATGCAGCAGGTGTCGTGGGTTGACTGCTGTGCCAGGCTAAGTGCATGAGGAGGTCACGGGACAGACCCAGCAGGTGTCGTGGGTTGACTGCTGTGCCAGGCTAGGTGCATGAGGAGGTCACGAGATAGACCCAGCAGGTGTCGTGGGTTGACTGCTGTGCCAGGCTAGGTGCATGAGGTCACAGAGACAGACCCAGCAGGTGCAGTGGGTTGACTGCTGTGCCAGGCTAGGTGCATGAGGAGGAGGTCACGGGACAGACCCAGCAGGTGCCGTGGGTTGACTGCTGTGCCAGGCTAGGTGCATGAGGAGGAGGTCACGGGACAGACCCAGCAGGTGCCGTGGGTTGACTGCTGTGCCAGGCTAGGTGCATGAGGAGGAGGTCACGGGACAGACCCAGCAGGTGCCAGGGGTTGACTGCTGTGCCAGGCTAGGTGCATGAGGAGGAGGTCACGGGACAGACCCAGCAGGTGCCGTGGGTTGACTGCTGTGCCAGGCTAGGTGCATGAGGAGGAGGTCACGGGACAGACCCAGCAGGTGCCGTGGGTTGACTGCTGTGCCAGGCTAGGTGCATGAGGAGGAGGTCACGGGACAGACCCAGCAGGTGCCGTGGGTTGACTGCTGTGCCAGGCTAGGTGCATGAGGAGGAGGTCACGGGACAGACCCAGCAGGTGCCAGTGGGTTGACTGCTGTGCCAGGCTAGGTGCATGAGGAGGAGGTCACGGGACAGACCCAGCAGGTGCCGTGGGTTGACTGCTGTGCCAGGCTAGGTGCATGAGGAGGAGGTCACGGGACAGACCCAGCAGGTGCCGTGGGTTGACTGCTGTGCCAGGCTAGGTGCATGAGGAGGAGGTCACGGGACAGACCCAGCAGGTGCCGTGGGTTGACTGCTGTGCCAGGCTAGGTGCATGAGGAGGAGGTCACGGGACAGACCCAGCAGGTGCCGTGGGTTGACTGCTGTGCCAGGCTAGGTGCATGAGGAGGAGGTCACGGGACAGACCCAGCAGGTGCCGTGGGTTGACTGCTGTGCCAGGCTAGGTGCATGAGGAGGAGGTCACGGGACAGACCCAGCAGGTGCCGTGGGTTGACTGCTGTGCCAGGCTAGGTGCATGAGGAGGAGGTCACGGGACAGACCCAGCAGGTGCCAGTGGGTTGACTGCTGTGCCAGGCTAGGTGCATGAGGAGGAGGTCACGGGACAGACCCAGCAGGTGCCGTGGGTTGACTGCTGTGCCAGGCTAGGTGCATGAGGAGGAGGTCACGGGACAGACCCAGCAGGTGCCGTGGGTTGACTGCTGTGCCAGGCTAGGTGCATGAGGAGGAGGTCACGGGACAGACCCAGCAGGTGCCGTGGGTTGACTGCTGTGCCAGGCTAGGTGCATGAGGAGGAGGTCACGGGACAGACCCAGCAGGTGCCGTGGGTTGACTGCTGTGCCAGGCTAGGTGCATGAGGAGGAAGGTCACGGGACAGACCCAGCAGGTGCCGTGGGTTGACTGCTGTGCCAGGCTAGGTGCATGAGGAGGAGGTCACGGGACAGACCCAGCAGGTGCCGTGGGTTGACTGCTGTGCCAGGCTAGGTGCATGAGGAGGAGGTCACGGGACAGACCCAGCAGGTGCCGTGGGTTGACTGCTGTGCCAGGCTAGGTGCATGAGGAGGAGGTCACGGGACAGACCCAGCAGGTGCCGTGGGTTGACTGCTGTGCCAGGCTAGGTGCATGAGGAGGAGGTCACGGGACAGACCCAGCAGGTGCCGTGGGTTGACTGCTGTGCCAGGCTAGGTATCCTTGTGGTATCCTGCTCTGACCTCTGTGGCCATGACAACCATTTCCCCCCCTCCGTTGCAGAAGAGGCCCAGAGGTGCAGTGTCAGCGCCACACACAGAGCTCAGAGAAAGTGCTGTGACGAAGATTTAACAACTCTGGGCTTCCAAAGTGCAATGTGAGGATATATCCGGGACGCTGACGGATCACAACTCGTCACGACGATTGGCTCTGCAGGTCCTGACGAGTCAGGGGCGTGGTCCCGGGAGCCTACGATGGAGTCTAGAAGATTCCATAGAGGCTAACCAGGATTGGTGGAAAGGTACCACGTGACCCGGGTATTAAATAGGGGTGGAGACAAACAACGCGTGGTCAGAACTGGAACGAACGGAGGGAGAGGCCACGCTGGAGCGGGGTCCAGGCTGTACCACGTGGTCCAGGCTGTACCACGTGGTCCAGGCTGCCACGTGGTCCAGGCTGTACCACGTGGTCCAGGCTGTACCACGTGGTCCAGGCTGTACCACGTGGTCCAGGCTGTACCACGTGGTCCAGGCTGTACCACGTGGTCCAGGCTGTACCACGTGGTCCAGGCTGTACCACGTGGTCCAGCCTGGACCACGTGGTCCAGCCTGCCACGTGGTACAGCCTGGACCACGTGGTACAGCCTGGACCACGTGGTCCAGGCTGTACCACGGGTCAGGCTGTACCAGGTCAGCTGCCACGTGGCTGCGCCTGAGTCTCTATCCCTCTCACGCTGCCTGTCAGCAGCGTGGAGGAGTGTTGTAAAGAAAGACAAATAAAGACCGATTCCAAAAGTCGCCTCCACGACCTTTATTACAGATGCATGATTTAAAGCAATTTTTTGACCAGCAATAGCAGCAGTAACAACAGCAGTAGCAGCAGTAGTAGCCGTAGCAGCAGTAGCAGCAGTAGTAGCAGCAGCAGTAGCAGCAGCAGTAGCAGCAGTAGCAGCAGTAGTAGCAGCAGCAGTAGCAGCATCAGTAGCAGCAGCAGTAGCAGCAGCAGTAGTAGCAGCAGTAGTAGCAGCAGCAGTAGCAGCAGTAGTAGCAGCAGCAGTAGCAGCAGCAGTAGCAGCAGCAGCAGCAGCAGTAGCAGCAGTAGCAACAGCAGTAGCAGCAGTAGCAGCAGTAGTAGCAGCAGCAGTAGCAGCATCAGTAGCAGCAGCAGTTGCAGCAGCAGTAGTAGCAGCAGTAGTAGCAGCAGCAGTAGCAGCAGTAGTAGCAGCAGCAGTAGCAGCAGCAGGAGTAGCAGCAGTAGCAGCAGTAGCAACAGCAGCAGTAGCAGCAGCAGCAGTAGCAGCGGCAGTAGCAGCAGCAGTAGCAGCAGCAGCAGTAGCAGCAGCAGGAGTAGCAGCAGTAGCAGCAGCAGCAACAGCAGCAGTAGCAGCAGCAGCAGCGGCAGTAGCAGCAGTAGCAGCAGCAGTAGCAGCAGCAGCAGCAGTAGCAGCAGCAGCAGTAACAGCAGCAGCAGTAGGAGCAGCAGCAGTAGCAGCAGCAGCGTAGGCCTCTAGCACTGCAAACGCGATGTCTCCGCCATCCCCGCAACCTCCACTCTGTCTCCACACCGACCGGCGGGCCGCTCACCCGCCCGGCACAAGCCCTCGCCCGGGTACCCGATACCCGGCTACCCGTACCCTACCCGATACCCGTACCCTACCCGAACCCTACCCGTACCCTACCTGATACCCGTACCCTACCCTACCCGATACCCGTACCCTACCCGTACCCTACCTGATACCCGTACCCTACCCGTACCCTACCCAATACCCGTACCCTACCCGATACCCGTACCCTACCTGATACCCGTACCCTACCTGATACCCGTACCCTACCCGTACCCGTACCCTACCCGATACCCGTACCCTACCCGTACCCTACCCGATACCCGTACCCTACCCGATACCCGTACCCTACCTGATACCTGTACCCTACCCGACACCCGTACCCTACCCGATACCCGTACCCTACCCGATACCCGTACCCTACCTGATACCCGTACCCTACCTGATACCCGTACCCTACCCGACACCCGTACCCTACCCGACACCCGTACCCTACCCGATACCCGTACCCTACCCGATACCCGGCTACCCGTACCCGGCCGGGTACAGGTACCCGTTTTCGACCCTGGTGCGGCCGGGTATGGGTAGGCCGTGAGTCACTGGTGAGTCACCGTTTGTCACTCATTTCCCAAGGTCTTGACTCTTCTCACAATTCAAGTTCCTAGAATCAACCCACCCGCGCCTGCAACGTGGCTTCATCCCAGAGGTCGCAATCGGGTACCCGTACCCTACCCGTACCCGGCCGGGTAGGGTACGGGTACGGGTAGGGTACCCGTTTGCGACCCTGGTGCGGCCGGGTACGGGTATGGGTAAGGAGTCAAAACCCGTTTGCGACCTCTGGCGACGGGGTCACGAGCGACGGGGTCACGAGCGACGGGGTCACGAGCGACGTAGTTTTCCTGCGCAGAGGTGGCGGGAGTCGGAGAGAGGTCACGTGACCACTGGGGGTAGGGGGGGGGCGAAAGGTGGACAGGGATGGAGGGGGGCGGTCTCACCGATGGTCATCACTCCACAACGTTAACCAACACCTGACGGGTGGGGTGAGTCTGTGTGTGTGTGGTGAGTCTGTGTGTGTGTGTGGTAAGTCTGTGTGTGTGTGGGGTGTGTCTGTGTGTGTGCATGGGGTGAGTCTGTGTGTGTGTGGTGAGTCTGTGTGTGTGTGTGGTGAGTCTGTGTGTGTGTGGGGTGTGTCTGTGTGTGTGCATGGGGTGAGTCTGTGTGTGTGTGGTGAGTCTGTGTGTGTGTGTGGTGAGTCTGTGTGTGTGTGGGGTGTGTCTGTGTGTGTGCATGGGGTGAGTCTGTGTGTGTGTGGTGAGTCTGTGTGTGTGTGTGGGGTGAGTCTGTGTGTGTGTGGTGAGTTTGTGTGTGTGTGTGGGGTGAGTCTGTGTGTGTGTGGTGAGTTTGTGTGTGTGTGGTGAGTCTGTATGTGCATGGGGTGAGTCTGTGTGTGTGTGGTGAGTCTGTGTGTGTGTGGTGGGGTGAGTCTGTGTGTGTGGTGAGTCTGTGTGTGTGTGTGGGGTGAGTCTGTGTGTGTGTGTGGTGAGTCTGTGTGTGTGTGGTGAGTTTGTGTGTGTGTGGTGAGTCTGTGTGTGTGGTGGGGTGAGTCTGTGTGTGTGTGGTGAGTCTATGTGTGTGTGTGGTGAGTCTTTGTGTGTGGTGGGGTGAGTCTGTGTGTGTGGTGAGTCTGTGTGTGTGTGGTGAGTCTGTGTGTGTGGTGGGGTGAGTCTGTGTGTGTGTGGTGAGTCTGTGTGTGTGTGTGGTGAGTCTGTGTGTGTGTGGGGTGTGTCTGTGTGTGTGTATGGGGTGAGTCTGTGTGTGTGTGGTGAGTCTGTGTGTGTGTGTGTGGGGTGAGTCTGTGTGTGTGTGGTGAGTTTGTGTGTGTGTGTGGGGTGAGTCTGTGTGTGTGTGGTGAGTCTGTGTGTGTGTGTGGTGAGTCTGTATGTGCATGGGGTGAGTCTGTGTGTGTGTGGTGAGTCTGTGTGTGTGTGGTGGGGTGAGTCTGTGTGTGTGTGTGTGGTGAGTCTGTGTGTGTGTGTGGGGTGAGTCTGTGTGTGTGTGTGGTGAGTCTGTGTGTGTGTGGTGAGTTTGTGTGTGTGTGGTGAGTCTGTGTGTGTGGTGGGGTGAGTCTGTGTGTGTGTGGTGAGTCTGTGTGTGTGTGGTGAGTCTGTGTGTGTGTGTGGTGAGTATTTGTGTGTGGTGGGGTGAGTCTGTGTGTGTGGTGGGAGTCTGTGTGTGTGTGGTGAGTTTGTGTGTGTGTGGTGAGTCTGTGTGTGCATGGGGTGAGTCTGTGTGTGTGTGGTGAGTCTTTGTGTGTGGTGGGGTGAGTCTGTGTGTGTGGTGAGTCTGTGTGTGTGTGGTGAGTCTGTGTGTGTGTGGTGAGTCTGTGTGTGTGTGGGTGAGTCTGTGTGGTGTGGTGGGGTGAGTCTGTGTGTGTGTGGTGAGTCTGTGTGTGTGTGGTGGGGTGAGTCTGTGTGTGTGTGGGATGTGTCTGTGTGTGTGCATGGGGTGAGTCTGTGTGTGGTGAGTCTGTGTGTGTTTGGGACATGTCTGTGTGTGTGCATGGGGTGAGTCTGTGTGTGTGTGGTGGGGTGAGTCTGTGTGTGTGGTGGGGTGTGTCTGTGTGTGTGCATGGGGTGAGTCTGTGTGTGGTGAGTCTGTGTGTGTTTGGGATGTGTCTGTGTGTGTGTGTGGGGTGAGTCTGTGTGTGTGTGGTGAGTCTGTGTGTGTGTGGTGGGGTGAGTCTGTGTGTGTGTGGGATGTGTCTGAGTGTGTGTGTGGGGTGAGTCTGTGTGTGTGTGGTGAGTCTGTGTGTGTGTGGTGGGGTGAGTCTGTGTGTGTGTGGGATGTGTCTGTGTGTGTGCATGGGGTGAGTCTGTGTGTGGTGAGTCTGTGTGTGTTTGGGATGTGTCTGTGTGTGTGCATGGGGTGAGTCTGTGTGTGGGGTGAGTCTGTGTGTGTGTGGTGAGTCTGTGTGTGTGTGGTGGGGTGAGTCTGTGTGTGTGGTGGGGTGTGTCTGTGTGTGTGTGTGGGGTGAGTCTGTGTGTGTGGGGTGAGTCTGTGTGTGTGGTGAGTCTGTGTGTGTGTGTGGGGTGAGTCTGTGTGTGTGGTGGAGTGAGTCTGTGTGTGTGTGGTGAGTATGTGTGTGTGGTGAGTCTGTGTGTGTGTGGTGAGTCTGTTTGTGTGTGTGTGTCCAGCAAAACAACCCCCTACCTCCTCGCGGTGCCGGATGGGCAACTCTGTCGTGGACAGTGCTGTGGGGGGCGGGCCAATTCCGATTGGCCCTCTCCCCTCATGGCATCTGTGACCCCCACAGTGGCTAAACGGGGGCTCTGGACGGGTGCGAGGGGCTGGTAACCCCTCCACCTTCAATGAACTACCACTAAACTACGACTTAAATATGTAACCAATAAGCTTGTGCCGGAGGCCCCGGGGGAACAGGCGTCTATGACGTCTCCTGGCCAAAACCCCAATTGGCGGAGCCAGGAGATTGAATCTTTACCCGCGGGGCTCCTCCAGAAACAATGAAAAGCCACTTCGTGTGGCCACGTGGAATGTTCGAACGCTCACTGCAGAGGAGAGGCTGCCACTCCTCTGTTGGGAGCTGGACCGGTACCGCCTGGATCTCTGTGGCATTCAGGAGGTCCGTTGGACCGGTTCTGGCTCCTGCCACCATGATGGATGGACAATCCTCCGTTCGGGGCAGGAGACTGCCAAACAACAAGGTGTGGCTCTTCCTATGAACAAAATAATGAAGGGGGCGTGGGAGCGTGGCGGTGAGGTGTGGGAAGCTGTGAGCCCCAGGCTACTTTGGGCTTGCCTTCCCATCAACAAGAGGGATGCAGGCAAAGCCGATGAGTCAGATGCCTTCTATGACCTCCTGTCACAGGTGCTGGCTAAAGTGGCCCCTCGGGACAGAGTCATCTTGTTGGGTGACTTCAATACCCGAGTTGGTCATGATGCTGGCACCTGGTCTGGAGTGATTGGAGAGCATGGGCCAGATCAGCTCAAGGAGGCCTAGATTTTTGTGCAGACCATGGGCTTGTAATTACCAACACGCTGTTCCGGCATCGGCGCATCCACACAACATCATGGATACATGCTGGGTTCAAGCAAGAACATCTGCTGGACTACATAGTGACAGACCAGCGGATGCGAGCCCATGTCCTTGACACCAAGACCTACCGTGGAGCTGATCTGCCCTCTGACCAACGACTAGGCATCTGTAAGATGCGCCTGCCATTCTTCCACTCCGGTGGTGGGTGTACACCCTGGACCCCATTCCAACCCAAAGTGGCCTGGTCTGAATTAGCTGATGAAAGTTGCAAGCGAGAATTTTATCATCGCTTGCGGCTGGGGTTGCCATCGTCCCCCACTCCTCTTGATGTCGAGGGTAAATGGGCGAGGTTTAGGACTGTGACTCATGCAGCTACAATGGTTGCTTTGGGTACGCGGTCCAGACCTCCCCAGAGACCCTGGCTGACAGAGGAGGTGTTCAGGATAGTTGAGAAAAAGCGACAGGCCCACTCTCATCGGCTACAGCATCCCACGTCAAAGAATGAGGAGGCTTACCGCAGCCTTCGCTCGGAGGTTCAGAGAACCGTAAGGCGCTGCAAGGATGGGTGGTGGTCGTGGGTTGCTGAGAAGATGGAGTCTGCCTCAGTGGCCCGCGATCACAAATCCCTATTTAACTCCATCAAAAAAGTAACCTGCAGCACCACACCTATTACCATCCTTAGGGGAAAAAAACGGTGATCCAATCTCTGACCCTCAGGAACAGGTTAGCAGATTTTCTGAGCATTTATGTAAGGTCCTGGGGGAGGGGAACTCCCTCAGCCAGGAAAACATCATGGCACAAAGTGGGGATGACCCTGCTGAGGCTGCGGTGCCTCAAATATTGGAAGAAGTCACCCCCTGTGAGTGACTGGCTGAGGTGCCATCTGTTGAGGAAGTACTGCAGGCGATCCGGAGTCTGAGACCAGGAAAGGCACCGGGCAGAGATGATCTCCCAAGCGAAATGCTGAGGGAGGGTGGCGTTTATGCACAGACTGCCCTATATGACATCATAACAACAGTCTGGACTACTGGACGGGTTCCGCAGGATTGGAAGGATGCCTGGTGGTCCCCCTCTTTAAGAAGGGGGACCGCACAGACTGTAACAACTACAGGGGCATCTCACTCCTCAGTGTGCCGGGAAAGGTCCTGGCAAGGATTATTCAATATTGCCTTGCCAGGCACGCTGAAGAGAGGCTTGCGGAGCCCCAATGCGGTTTCAGGAAAGGGCGGTCCTGCACAGATGCCATATTTTCTGTCCATCTGCTACAGCAGAGGTATAGGGAATTTCAACCAAACCTACATCTCTGCTTTATTGACCTGGTCAAGGCCTATGGTACCATCAGTAGGCCTGGGCTCTGGGTTGTTCTTCGTGTTTTCGGAGTCCCTGACCTTCTGCTCACGATCATTAAGGACCTTCATGATGGTGAGCGGGCCCGGGTAAAACTACGTGGCCGGGAGACAGAGCCTTTCCCTGTACACCTTGGGGTGCGACAGGGATGTCCTCTGGCTCCCACATTATTTAACATCTATTTTGACCACGTAGTGCGTGAAGCTTTCAATATCTGTACCGGGGGAATTTCCATTTGGTACAGATATAATGGGAGGCTGATCGATCGAGCTGAGTGGACTTGCCGATGACCGGTACCAGCGGTGTCAAGATCGGCCTCTGTGGAGGATGCTCGTGAAGGACGCTACTGGGCAGTTGGAGGCAGTCGCCCTCCAACAACAACGGAGGGCGGAGGAGCGACGCTCACAACAATGAGCAGGGCGCCGGGTGGCTAAAGCACAGCAAGTTGGCACAGTAGGGGGCACAGGTGGTGCATCAGCCACTCGTCTCAGTCATCTCAGTCAGTCGACCCGTGGCACCTGGGTCTGCCCCGTGACCTCCTGCCAGCGGGCATTCGACACTTCACGTGGCCTCAAGGTGGACATGGACTGGCACAAGCGTCGTGGTGACGTCACTGCCACTTAGTGGCGAATGGCGGTTATTGTTGTTGTTGTGTAATTGTGTGTGTGTGTGTGGTGTGTGTGTGTGGTGTGTGTGTGTGTGGTGTGTGTGTGGTGTGTGTGTGTGGTGTGTGTGTGTGTATGTGTGTGTGGTGTGTGCGTGTGTATGTGTGTGTGGTGTGTGTGGTGTGTGTATGTGTGTGTGGTGGTGTATGTGTGTGGTGTGTGTGTGTGGTGTGTGTGTGTGGTGTGTGTGTGTGGTGTGTGGTGGTGTGTGTGTGTGGTGTATGTGTGTGGTGTGTGTGTGGTGTGTGTATGTGTGTGTGGTGGTGTATGTGTGTGGTGTGTGGTGGTGTGTGTGTGGTGTGTGTGTGTGTGTGTGGTGTGTGTGTGTGGTGTGTGTGTGTGGTGTGTGTATGTGTGTGTGGTGGTGTGTGTGTATGGTGTGTGCGTGGTGTGGTGTATGTGTGTGGTGTGTGTGTGTGGTGTGTGTGTATGTGTGTGGTGTGTGTGGTGTGTGTGGTGTATGTGCGTGGTGTGTGTATGTGTGTGTGGTGGTGTATGTGTGTGTGTGGTGTGTGTGCGTGGTGGTGGTGTGTGCGTGGTGTGTGTGTGTATGTGTGCGTGGTGTGGTGTATGTGTGTGTGGTGTGTGTGTGTGTATGTGTGTGTGGTGTGTGTGGTGTGTGTATGTGTGGTGTGTGGTGTGTGTGTGTGTGTGGTGTGTGTGTGTGGTGTGTGTGTGTGGTGTGTGTGGTGTGTGGTGTGTGTGTGTGGTGTGTGTGTGTGTGGTGTGTGTGGTGTGTGTGTGTGGTGTGTGTGTGTGGTGTGTGTGGTGTGTGTGGTGTGTGTGTGTGTGGTGTGTGTGGTGTGTATGTGGTGTGTATGTGTGGTGTGTGTGTGTGGTGTGTGTGTGTGGTGTGTGTGGTGTGTGGTGTGTGTGTGTGTGTGTGGTGTGTGTGTGGTGTGTGTGTGTGGTGTGGTGTGTGTGGTGTGTGTGTGTGGTGTGTGTGTGTGGTGTGTGTGTGTGGTGTGTGTGTGTGTGTGTGGTGTGTGTGTGTGTGTGGTGTGTGTGTGTGGTGTGTGTGGTGTGTGTGGTGTGTGTGTGTGGTGTGTGTGTGTGGTGTGTGTTTGTGGTGTGTGTGTGTGGTGTGTGTGTGTGGTGTGTGTGTGTGGTGTGTGTGTGTGGTGTGTGTGTGTGGTGTGTGTGGTGTGTGGTGTGTGGTGTGTGTGTGGTGTGTGTGTGTGGTGTGTGTGTGTGGTGTGTGTGTGTGGTGTGTGTGTGTGGTGTGTGGTGTGTGGTGTGTGTGTGTGTGGTGGTGTGTGTGTGTGGTGTGTGTGGTGTGTGGTGTGTGTGTGTGTGGTGGTGTGTGTGTGTGGTGTGTGTGGTGTGTGTGTGTGTGGTGTGTGTCAACCAATGGGGCACCGCCACTCACCCGGCCGTCCTCCCTGGTGGCATTCTTCAGCCGCCACTCTTCCTCGTCCTCGTCCCAGTACGCTTCTAGCTGCTCACCGCACATCTCACACAGCTGACAACACACACACACACTCACTCACCCACTCACTCACACACACACTCACTCACACGCTCACTCACTCACACATTCACACACTCACTCACACACTCATTCACACACTCACTCACACACTCACTCACTCATACACACGCACACACTCACTCACTCACGCACACACTCACTCACACACACACACTCACTCACTCATACACACTCACTCACGCACACACTCACTCACACACACACACTCACACACTCACACAAACACTCACTCACACATTCACACTCACTCACACACTCATTCACACACACACTCACTCACACACACGCACACACACACTCACTCATACAACAACAACAACCGCTATTCGCCACTAGGTGGCGGTGACGTCACCACGACGCTTGTGCCAGGCCATGTGCACCTTGAGGAGGTCACGGGGCAGACCCAGCAGGTGCCACGGGTCGACTGACCGAGATGACTGGCTGATGCACCACCTGTGCCCCCTACTGTGCCAACTAGCTGTGCTTTAGCCACCCGGCGCTCCGCTCGTTGTTGTGAGCGTCGCTCCTCCGCCCTCCGTTGTTGTTGGAGGGTGACTGCCTCCAACTGCCCAGTAGCGTCCTTCACGAGCCTCCTCCACAGAGGCCGAACTTGACACCGCTGGTACCAGTCATCGGCAAGTCCACTCAGCTCCACGTCCTCCTGTACCACATCACTCCATCTCTTCTCTAGCCGTGCCGCGCCCGTCTAGCCCCCTCGATCCGGCCGAACAAAAGCTGTTTAGGCATGCGGTGGCTAGGCATGCGGGCTACATGACCCAGCCAACGCAGCCTTACCTGCCGGAGGAGCTCACCGATGGGACTTTGCCCAGATCTTTCAAGGACTTGTGAGCTCCTCACATAATCCAGCCTGGTTAAACCCAGGATGGATCGTAGGCAGGCCAGCCTAAATGTTTCCAACCGGCGAAGATGCTCCATTAGGAGGGTCCACGTTTCGCAAGCGTAGAGAAGGGAGGGAATGACTGTGGCCGAGAAGACCTGAAGTTTCGTGCGGAGCGACAGACCAGGTAGCTTCCACACAGCGTTACGCAACCGATGAAAAGATATTGCCGCTCGACTGATTCACACACTCACTCACACACTCACTCATACACACGTACACGCACACACACAGACACACACGCACACACACTCACTCACACACGCAAACACTCACACACACGCACGCAGACACACAACGCACACGCAGACACACGCACACACAGACACGCAAACACACAGACACGCACGCACGCACGCAGACACACAACGCACACGCAGACACACGCACACACAGACACGCAAACACACACACTCACGCACGCACGCATGTAGAAACACAACGCACACGCAGACACACGCACACACAGACACGCAAACACACACACTCACGCACGCACACACACTCACTCACACATGCAAACAATCACACACGCAAACACTCACATGCAAACACACACGCACGCACACACACAACGCACACGCAGACACGCACACACAGACACGCAGACACACACACTCACGCACGCACGCAGACACACAACGCACACGCAGACACACGCACACACAGACAAGCAAACACACACACTCACACACGCACGCACACGCACGCACACGCAGACACACGCACACACAGACACGCAATCACACACACTCACGCACGCACGCAGACACACAACGCACACACAGACACGCAAACACACACACTCACACACGCACACACAACGTGCCAATCAAGAAGACGGCCAATGGACAACGGACGCCGTCGTCTGCCTCACCTCTTGGACGCTGGCGGTCCCCGCGGGGACGCTGGGGAACTCCTCGGCTTTGCCCCCCCCCCGCGTGGCCCCCCCCCTCGTGGCCCCCCCCCGCGTGGCCCCCCCCCTCGTGCCCCCCCCCCTCGTCCAGAGGGACGGCGCCTCCTCCTGCGGCCGCTCCGGGAGGCGTTTCTCGGCGCCCCCATCGTGGGCGACACCCGGCGGCGTCTCGATCCACTCCTGCGGGGGGGCGGCGCCGTCCCGCGTCAGGTTGGCGGCGCGCTCGTGCCGGGCTAGGTGCACCCGCTCAGTCGCTCGTCCGTTCCCCCGCGCCGCCGATTGGCGCGGTCGGCCGGGTAGGTAGGGCGCGAAAGAAGTTCAACTCGCGTCGTACGCAGTTGGCGAGCGACGTCGCGGGGAGACCCTGGGGGGCGCGGTGACGTCACGTCACCCGAGACGGTATTCAGGGGGAAGCCCGTGGCCTAGGAGGAGGGTTGTCGCTCCCGTGGGAGCCGGGAACGGGAGAGGCTGCAGGCTGGGGGCACAACGGGGTCGTACGCGTACCCGGCCGCACCAGGGTCACAAACGGGTACCCGTACCCGGCCGTACCCGTACCCTACCCGTACCCTACCCGGCCGGGTACGGGTTGGGTACGGGTATCGGGTACCCGATTGCGACCTCTGGTATGAAGCCATGTTGCAGGCGCGGGTGGGTTGATTCTAGGAACTTGAATTGTGAGAAGAGACAAGACGTTGGGAAATGAGTGACACACGGTGACTCACAAGTGACTCACGGCCTACCCGTACCCGGTACAGGTAGGGGTAGCCGGGTAGGGTACGGGTAGGGTACGGGTATCGGGTAGGGTGCGGGTATCGGGTAGGGTACGGGTATCGGGTAGGGTACGGGTATCGGGTAGGGTACGGGTATCGGGTAGGGTGCGGGTATCGGGTAGGGTACGGGTACGGGTAGGGTGCGGGTATGGGGTAGGGTACGGGTATCGGGTACCCGGTTGCGACCTCTGCCCAGTACCATGTCCCCTGGGGAGCTATCAGCTAAGCCGGTGACCTGGTTAGGGGTAAGCGGTAACCTGGTTAGGGGTAACCTGGTTAGGGGTAACCTGGTTAGAGGTAAGCAGTAACCTGGTTAGGGGTAAGTGGTACACACGCGCACACGCAAACACACGTGCACACGGGCGGCGGTTCACCGCACGTCTCACGGCGTCGTGACGTCACGCAGCCTTCGAGCCCACAGCTCCCTCCTCCCCTCTAACACCGCCTCCTCGTGTCCCACGCGTCTCTCGTTCATCTCTCGGGCTTCCGACCGGCGAGGTTGCCTCCGTGACGTTGCAAACGGAGTGGGGACCCCGCACCCCCTGGCCACCACGGCGAGCGTGGGGAATGCACAGCGGTCAAGTGCTCTCACTCGCGCAACGTCCATTCTCCACGTGGGAGGGGGAAAACCCGGAGGGCCACGGGAAAGAATCCACACACGACCACGGAGAGAGAGAGGGAGAGACACGCAGACTCCAAATACACGACGGAGCGTCAGGGTCGGGATAGAACCCACGACCTCCTGTACACCAGGCGAGGTTGTTAACATCTCCTAGCCACCGTGATGATGATGATGATGAGAGAGAGACGCAGACTCCAAATCTACAGCAGCAGGCGTCGTCAGGGTCGGGATCGAACCCACGACCTCCTGTATACCAGGCGAGGTAGTTAACATCTCCTAGCCACCGTGATGATGATTAGAGAGAGAGACACACAAACTCCAAATATACAGCAGCAGGCGTGAGGATTGGGATCGAACCCACGACCTCCTGCGCACCAGGCGAGGTAGTCAACATCTCCGAGCCACAGAGCGAGCGAGTGAGCGAGCGCCGCTTACCGTGCAGGAGCGGTACCAGCGGCGGTGCGTGACCTCGCTGCCCGGGTCTTTGCTGTCGCGGTTGACGCGGTAGTGCCAGTCCAGGTGGTCGGCGTAGGCGCTCGCCTGGCGCCCCGTGAAGCGCAAGCTGCACGAGTGGCACTGGACACCCGAGTAGAGGCGCCGCACCGCGCCGCCGTGGCGCCTGTGCGCACGCACATGCACACACGCACACGCAGATATACACATGCGCACACACGCACACACACGCACGCACACGCGCACACACGCGCACACGCACACACACACACGCGGATGTACACACGCACACGTACACACGCACACACAGACACACGCACGTACACACGCACACACGCGGATGTACACACGCACACGTACACACGCACACACAGACACACGCACACACACGCGGATATACACTCGCACACACACGCGGATGTACACACGCACACACACACGGATATACACACGCACACACACACGCGGATGTACACACGCACACACGCACACACACGCGGATATACACACGCACACACACACGCGGATGTACACACGCACACAAAGATAAAGACAAAGATCCCCCGTATAGCCTGAACAGACTGTAGGGGCAAGTGCTGTTAGCGAGCACCTATGAAGGCCGGAACGGTACACGAGGGGGTGGGTGGCCAGCACCACGCCCGACCGCCTTTGTCTCCCTAGTGGCGATGTTTACACACCACACCAGGTACTCATTTAAGGCTGAGTCGACCTAGGGGAGGCCCAGGACCGGTTCAGATAATCGTCACTGGTGTTAGCCGTGAGCGGGAATCGAACCCGGGTCGCCAGGTTCATAGCGCAGCGCGCTAACCGCTACACTACCGCTCCCCACACACGCACACATACACACGTACACACGCACACACAGACAAACGCACACACACAAACGCAGATATACACTCGCACACACACGCGGATATACACACGCACAGACACGCACACACGCACACACACACACACGCGGATATACACTCGCGCGCTCGCATATACTCACACACGCACACACACGCACACACACGCGGATATACACTCGCGCGCTCGCATATACTCACACACGCACACACAAGACATCCTCATGGCAAGATCACCGCAGCGAGCGCTTTCAGACGCGCCTCCTGCCTCATGTGAGCAATCCACTGGAGTTGTCCACTTTTAAATCATCGCTGACTCACGAATTTCTTTAGAAATGCTTTTTGTGTTTTTTACTTTGTGATCCTTACCCCCGGCACCTCCAATTAGCACGGTTGGCTACGAACACACTAACACCAATACCCCGCCATTCGCCACACAGCGACGGTGACGTCACCACGGCGACCGTGCCAGGCCAGGTGCACGTTGAGGCCGCGTGAAGTGTCGAAGGCTCGCTGCTGGCAGAAGGTCTCGGGACAGAAACCTGTAGGTGCCACGGGTTGGCTGACTGAGATGACCGGTAGATGCACCACCAGCTGTAACCCCCCTGCTGTGCCAGGCTAGGTGCAGGAGGTCACAGGGCAGACCCAGCAGGTGCCATTGGTTGACTGACTGAGATGACCGGTAGATGCACCACCAGCTGTACCCTCCCTACTGTGCCAGGCTAGGTGCAGGAGGTCACGGGACAGACCCAGCAGGTGCCACGGGTTGGCTGACTGAGATGACCGGTAGATGCACCACCAGCTGTACCCCCCTGCTGTGCCAGGCTAGGTGCAGGAGGTCACGGGACAGACCCTGCAGGTGCCACGGGTTGGCTGACTGAGATGACCGGTAGATGCACCACCAGCTGTACCCCCCTGCTGTGCCAGGCTAGGTGCAGGAGGTCACGGGGCAGACCCTGCAGGTGCCACGGGTTGACTGACTGAGATGACTGGTAGATGCACCACCAGCTGTACCCCCCTACTGTGCCAGGCTAGGTGCAGGAGGTCACGGGACAGACCCTGCAGGTGCCACGGGTTGGCTGACTGAGATGACCGGTAGATGCACCACCAGCTGTACCCCCCTGCTGTGCCAGGCTAGGTGCAGGAGGTCACGGGACAGACCCTGCAGGTGCCACGGGTTGACTGACTGAGATGACCAGTAGATGCACCACCACCACCTGTACCCTCTGCTGTGCTAACTTTCTGCGTTTTAGCCGCCCGGCGCTCCGCTCGTTGTTGTGAGCGTCGCTCCTCCGCCCTCCGTCGTTGCTGGAGGGCGACTGCCTCCAACCGCCCGTCGTTGGTTCGATCCCGCCGCCGCCGCCGCCGCTGCCGCTGCTGCTGCGTATTTGAACGTTCTCCCCGTGGTCTAGTGGAATTTTGTCTCGGGGTCGCTGCGTTTTTTTCCCCCCTTCCACGTTGAAAACCAACGTCGTCGTCAACGCGCTGTAAGTGCCCACGACGACGAGCCACTTCACCGGGCCATCGGTGGAGCGATGCTGACGCTCACCGCTTGAGGTCTTCGATGGCGAAGCCGGAGAGGTCCGGAATGTCGTCGTCGTCGTCCTCTGCGGATGCCTCCTCACCTCTGGTGGACGTCTCCTCCGTCGCGCCGCCAGCGTCGCTCCCGGCACGAGCGTCGTCTGTCGGCGAGAGAGAAACACGAGCGGAGCGGGGTCAGAGGGGGGGGGGAGGCGGCCATCGGTGAGCCCCCCCCCCATCCCTGTCCACCTTCCGCCCCTCCCCCTACCCCCAGTGGTCACGTGACCTCACTCCGACTCCCGCCACCTCCGCGCAGGAGAACTCCGTCGTTCGTGACCCCGTCGCTCGTGACCCCGTCGCTCGTGACCCCGTCGTTCGTGACCCCGTCGCTCGTGACCCCGTCGCCAGAGGTCGCAAACGGGTTTTGATTCCTTACCCGTACCCGTACCCGGCCGCACCAGGGTCGCAAACGGGTACCCTACCCGTACCCTACTCGTACCCTACCCGTACACGTACCCTACCCGTACACGTACCCTACCCGTACCCTACCCGTACCCTACCCGTACCCTACCCGTACACGTACCCTACCCGTACACGTACCCTACCCGTACCCTACCCGGCCGGGTGCGGGTATCGGGTACCCGATTGCGACCTCTGGGATGAAGCCATGTTGCAGGCGCGGGTGGGTTGATTCTAGGAACTTGAACTGTGAGAAGAGACAAGATGTTGGGAAATGAGTGACAAACGGTTACTCACCAGTGACTCACGGCCTACCCGTACCCGGCCGCACCAGGGTCGCAAACGGGTACCTGTACCCGGCCGGGTACGGGTAGCCGGGTATCGGGTAGGGTAAGGGTATCGGGTACCCGGTTGCGACCTCTGCCGAGTACCCCCAGGTCGGCACGACGACCTGGGGGTGTGGGGCTTCCATCTCCTCTCTCACCGGCCGTGCCGCCGACGCCGGCGGTCGCCGTCGCCGCCACCGCCTGGACTTGCAGGATTCCCGAGGCGACGAGCTTCCAGAAGAGCGAGTTCACCTGCTCGGCCTGAGCGGCGTGGGCAGCCGCTCCCGTCGCTGCACTCGGGGGGCGACGCAGAGACACGCAGAGAGACAACGTCATCGCCGCAGCAGCAGCAGCAGCAGCGCTTGTGCCAAGCTAGGTGGTAGCGGTGAAGGGCAGCGGTGGTGGCGAGCGGTGGTGGCGAGCGGTGGTGGTGAGCGGTGGTGGCGAGCGGTGGTGATGTTGAGTAGCGGTGAGTGGTGGTGGTGAGCGGTGGTGGTGAGTAGCGGTGAGCGGTGGTGGCGAGCGGTGGTGGTGAGTAGCGGTGAGCGGTGGTGGCGAGTGGTGGTGGTGAGTAGCGGTGAGCGGTGGTGGTGAGCGGTGGTGGCGAGCGGTGGTGGCGAGCAGTGGTGGTGAGCGGTGGTGGCGAGCGGTGGTGGTGAGTAGCGGCGAGCAGTGGTGGTGAGCGGTGGTGGCGAGCGGTGGTGGCGAGCGGTGGTGGTGAGTAGCGGTGAGCGGTGGTGGTGAGTAGCGGCGAGCGGTGGTGGTGAGCGGTGGTGGTGAGCGGTGGTGGTGAGCGGTGGTGGCGAGCGGTGGTGGTGAGTAGCGGTGAGCGGTGGTGGTGAGCGGTGGTGGTGAGTAGCGGTGAGCGGTGGTGGTGAGTAGCGGCGAGCGGTGGTGGTGAGCGGTGGTGGCGAGCGGTGGTGGTGAGTAGCGGTGGTGGTGAGTAGCGGTGAGCGGTGGTGGCGAGCGGTGGTGGTGGTGAGCTGTAAGGTGGGGGCGGCAAACAATCACTCACGCATCAGCTGCTGGTGTTGAGTCAGCTGCTGGTGTTGAGTCAGCTGCTGGTGCTGAGTCAGCTGTTGGTGCTGCGTCAGCTGTTGGTGCTGCATGAGCTGCTGGTGTTGAGTCAGCTGCTGGTGCTGAGTCAGCTGTTGGTGCTGCGTCAGCTGTTGGTGCTGCATGAGCTGCTGGTGTTGAGTCAGCTGCTGGTGCTGCATCAGCTGCTGGTGTTGAGTCAGCTGTTGGTGCTGCGTCAGCTGTTGGTGCTGCATCAGCTGCTGGTGTTGAGTCAGCTGTTGGTGCTGCGTCAGCTGTTGGTGCTGAGTCAGCTGCTGGTGTTGAGTCAGCTGCTGGTGCTGAGTCAGCTGCTGGTGCTGAGTCAGCTGCTGAGTCAGCTGCTGGTGCTGAGTCAGCTGCTGGTGGCCCAGCCAGTAGTCCGGCCGGTGGCCCAGCAGGTTGCCCGGCGGCCGCGCAGCAAACTGCGTCCCGCCGTCAAAGAGCCACCCGTGCGGTCCCTCCCAAGTGGTTTGTCGTTGATGTCGTTGTTGACGTCGTTGTTGACGTCGTTGTTGATGTTGACGCCACTGCTGCTGCCCGCCGTACCGAGGCCCGGCCTCGAAGTCTGACGGGCCGTCGAACCGAGGAACCCCGTGCCCGTCGACCCGCACGCCCCTGGGGCCCCGCGGCCCGTCGAATCTACGTCCTCCCGGCGGCCCGTGGAAGTCCGGCGGCCCGTGGCCCAAGGCGGCCCACTGGGGTCCGTCGGGAAACCCGTCGGGGGGGCGACGGGGAGGGAGGTCGACGTCGCTCCGCTGCCCGGGGGCAACCTCCTCCTGCTCCGTCTCCTCCGTGGGGAGGAGGAGCGGCGCTGTGCGGGAGCCGCCGTGTCGAGGCGGCGATGGGAGGAGGCGGCGGTGGCCGTTGACCCCCGCTGCAGAAGAGTCTCTCCGCTGCTGATGCTGCTGCTGCCGCCGCTGCCGCTGTTGCTGCTGCTGCTGCTGCCGCCGCTGTTGCTGCTGCTGCTGCTGTGGTTGTGGGTTGTCCTGGCCGGCGCCGATCCTACAACAACAACAATGACAACGACGACGACAACAACGGTGTCCCTCACCCCTCCGCACAACACACGCACAACACACACACACAACACGCGCAAATAACACACGCACAACACACGCACAACACACACACGCACACAACACGCGCACACAACACACACACACAACACGCGCACACAACACACACACACAACACACACAACACACACACAACACGCGTACAACACGCGCACAACACACACACAACACGCGCACACAACACACACACACAACACACACAACACACACACACAACACACACAACACACACACAACATGCGTACAACACACGCACAACACACACACAACACGCACACAACACACGCAAATAACACGCGCACAACACACGCACACAACACACACACAACACACACAACACACACACACAACACGCGCACACAACACACACACAACACACACACAACACACACACACACAACACGCGCACACAACACGCGCACACAACACACACACAACACACACACACAACACGCGCACACAACACACACACAACACACACACAACACACACAAAACACACACACAACACGCACACACAACACACACACAACACACAACACACACACACACAACACACACACAACACACAGACACAACACGCGCTGGCTCGTAAACGCCCACCCGGGGGAGCAGCTTCTCCTCCTCCTCTTCTTCTGCGGCGGTGGCGGTGGTGGCGGTGGTGGCGGTGGTTCCGTCTCCTGGACGGGCGCGGAGGGCGGGCGGGGGCCGACCCAGAGGCCGCCAGGAGCTCGGCGGGAGATGTTCCCGGACCCGGACGCCTCCTGGGGGGGAAGGGGGGGTGGAGAGCGGTGACGAAAACTTTCCCCGATAGGGCTTCTTTAGTGAGGGTGGCACAGATGGTGATCCAGGATCCACAGTTTCAGCTGGCGGGAGGCCGACCGGGTGAAGATTGAGGCTGCTGCCCCCCCCCCTCTCTCCGGCAAAGGGGGGGCGGGGGGGGAAGGCCATGGAGGCCAGCGGCGACGCGCAAGCGGCGGCGGCGGCGACCGAGGGAGCGCAACAGCCGGACCCGGCCTCGCTTGCACCCCCGACGCAGCGAGGAGAAGAGGTGACGCTGACCGCCGCCGCCGCCGGAGACGTTGGTGTGCCGGGCGGCGCTGCTGCTGCAGCTGCTACTACTGATGCTACTACTGCTGCTGCTGCTACTACTGCTGCTGCAGCTGCAGCTGCTACTACTGATGCTGCTGCTGCTGCTGCTGCTACTGCTGCTGCTGCTGCTGCTGCTACTACTGATGCTGCTGCTACTGCTGCTGCTGCTACTACTACTGCTGCTGCTGCTACTACTGCTGCTGCTGCTGCTACTGCTGCTGTTGCTACTACTGCTGCTGCTGCTACTACTGATGCTGCTGCTGCTGCTACTACTGCTGCTGCTGCTACTACTGATGCTGCTGCTGCTGCTACTACTGATGCTGCTGCTGCTGCTACTGCTGCTGTTGCTACTACTGATGCTGCTACTACTGCTGCTGATGCTGCTACTGCTGCTGCTGTTGCTACTACTGATGCTGCTGCTGCTGCTACTGCTGCTGTTGCTACTACTGATGCTGCTGCTACTGCTGCTGCTGCTACTACTACTGCTGCTGCTGCTACTACTGCTGCTGCTGCTACTACTGATGCTGCTGCTGCTGCGGCGCCGGGGAGCACCTCTTCGCCCGTCCCGATGAGGGAGGGGGGGGGAGGAGGCAGAGCCGGCCCTAGACCTTTGGGGGCCCTAAGCAAAATTTGGTTGGAGGCCCCTTTGATGTATGATTTTTTTCACCCACTCGCTAGCAGTGACTCTAGCGGGGCCCTCTGCTGGCCATGGGGCCCTTTGCAATTGCAAGGGTCGCTTAGTGGCTGGGCCGGCTCTGGGAGGAGGTGACTATGGAATTCGAGGGGAGTGGGCTTCCTGGGCTTGAGATCGAGCCCAGCGAGGCCCTGGCCCCAGACGGGTCAGCGGTGGGGACAGGGGGGGGCCCACGCCGACATGACAAGCGGATCTGGCGCCGAGGCGCGAGAGGTGAGCGGGGCGAGCGTCGTCAGCGGTGGCGACCGGAAGGGACGGAGAGTGCCGAAGAGCTGGCCTCCGATGCCCAAGATGGGGTGCTCCCCCGACCACCTTCTCGGCTTCCTGAGATGGTCGTACGGGAGGCGCAACATCCGGGTGCAGGACAGCTTCCCCAGCGGGGGGAACTTCGTGAGTGCGGCCTGTCGTGTGGTCCAGGATCCGAGCAAGTTTGATTACAGCCGCCAGGAAATCAATCGGTTAAAGGCCTTGATGAGCAAGGTCCAAAAACAGCCACCATCCCCCCCCCCACTACCCCCTTTCCCCCCCGTGGCGCCGAAGACGGCACCACCGCCGCCGTCGCCAGCCGAGGAGGAGGGTGAGGGTGTGGGAGTGGAGGGGCTGCTCTGTCAGGCAAAGGGGTGTGAGAGCCCGGAATGGCAAGCACATCGGACACTGGCTGCGGGGCGGTGGCGATGTGGTGTGTGATGATGATGTGTGATGAATGTGGAGCCGACGCTGCTTAGTTCTTAAGTTGCCGTACAGGCTGGTATTCTGATACATTGGAAACACTCCAGCGCAATTGCCGCTGGAGGCAATAAAGTTATAAAAGTCAAAAAAAAGTCTCGCTCACTCGCTCTCTCTCACTCTCTCTCTCGCTGTCACACTCGCTCTCTCACTCACTCGCTCCCACTCGCTCTCTCTCTCTCGCTCACTCACTCACTCGCTCTCTCTCACTCGCTCACTCACTCACTCGCTCTGACTCGCTCATTCTCTCACTCGCTCACTCACTCGCTCTCACTCTCTCACTCGCTCACTCACTCGTTCTCACTCTCTCACTCGCTCACTCGCTCACTCTCTCACTCTCTCACTCACTCGCTCTCTCTCACTCGCTCACTCACTCACTCGCTCTGACTCGCTCATTCTCTCACTCGCTCACTCACTCGTTCTCACTCTCTCACTCGCTCACTCACTCGTTCTCACTCTCTCACTCGCTCACTCGCTCACTCTCTCACTCTCTCACTCACTCGCTCTCTCTCACTCGCTCACTCACTCACTCGCTCTGACTCGCTCATTCTCTCACCGCTCACTCACTCGCTCTCACTCTCTCACTCGCTCACTCACTCGTTCTCACTCTCTCACTCGCTCACTCGCTCACTCTCTCACTCGCTCACTCTCTCACTCTCACTCACTCACTCTCTCTCTCTCGCTCTCTCTCACTCGCTCACTCACTCACTCGCTCACTCACTCGCTCACTCTCTCGCTCTCACTCACTCGCTCACTCACTCACTCGCTCCCACTCGCTCACTCGCTCACTCGCTCACTCGCTCACTCGCTCTCACTCGCTCACTCGCTCCCACTCGCTCCCACTCGCTCACTCGCTCACTCACTCACTCACTCTCTCTCACTCGCTCCCCACTCGCTCGCTCACTCACTCGCTCACTCGCTCCCACTCGCTCACTCACTCACTCGCTCACTCACTCACTCGCTCCCTCACTCACTCGCTCTCACTCGCTCACTCACTCGCTCCCACTCGCTCTCTCTCTCTCGCTCTCTCTCACTCGCTCACTCACTCACTCGCTCTCACTCGCTCACTCACTCACTCGCTCTCACTCGCTCACTCACTCGCTCCCACTCGCTCTCTCTCTCTCGCTCTCTCTCACTCGCTCACTCACTCACTCGCTCTCACTCGCTCACTCACTCACTCGCTCTCACTCGCTCACTCACTTGCTCGCTCACTCACTCGCTCACTCACTCGCTCGCTCCCACTCGCTCACTCACTCACTCGCTCACTCACTCACTCGCTCACTCACTCACTCGCTCACTCACTCACTCGCTCACTCACTCACTCGCTCACTCACTCACTCGCGCTCACTCGCTCTCACTCGCTCTCACTCACTTGCTCGCTCACTCACTCGCTCACTCACTCACTCGCTCCCACTCGCTCACTCACTCACTCGCTCACTCACTC